GGTATCTACAGGCAAGAGAAGGAAGGAGGATGGGATTGGGGTACCTTTCCTGGGGTGAATTAGAAGGGTCCCTTCCTCTGCCTCCATTGCTCTCATTCTTCCCAATGCTTCCAGTGGAGCTCATCCATCAGATGTGGACCTTTTTTCCTAGAAGTGTCAGTGGTGCCTCCCACCTTGGCAAGGGCCTGCCCAGAGATCTCTGCCTCTGCAGCCATGGCTGGCGAGAGGTCTCACTTCCTCAGTCCCGTGCCAGGTGTTCCAGCTCTGTGGTGTCTGAGGGCACAGCCACGTTCAGCCCTTTCTCAGGGGCTTCTGTGGGCTTGGTTTTCCTCCCTGGGTGGAGCTGGAGCAGGGCCCTGCCAAGCCTCGGGGGCCTGTGGCAGAGTGTTATGGCCAAGGGCCCACACCAGGGGCTTCTGTGGGCTTGGTTTTCCTCCCTGGGTGGAGCTGGAGCAGGGCCCTGCCAAGCCTTGGGGGCCTGAGGCAGAGTGTCATGGCCAAGGGCCACACCAGCACCTCACTGCTCACGGCAAGGCAGGGCTGGCTGCTCCCCAAAAGCTCTACTGACCTCACACCAGCTGCCTCTTCCAAGCTCTGTGCTACAGCCTCATCTCCATTTCTGCCTGTGTGGTGGTTTAGGAGTGGAACTCCCCAGTTCACTGCTCTCACTGAGGCTCCCTAACGACACACTGTACTCTCAGTGCCCTGTTCCTTCTCTCTTCCTGCTGAAACAGGATGGAGTTGAGAACTGGAGGCACAAAGGGCGAAGATCATTGTTTTAGATAAGAACAATTTACTGGAATCAGCAATGAGATAAGAGGAAAAAAACCCCAACCCAATAACAAGAACAATATTAATAATGAAAGCCATTAGTAAAAGAGAGTAAAAAGAGAGAGTCATTCATATGCAAAATCCACATCAAGGACCCCATGACAATAAACAAATACAGGATGACTTCTCTCCCTGCCCTTTCTTCTTGACCAGAAGGAACCCCTTTTCCCCAGAAGAGAGTGTCCCTTTCCACTCCCCCCAACCCATGCCAATGATGTGAGTTTGTAACAAATCATATTAGGGTCCTGGTCATATCCCTTTCTGAACCACTGCAAAAATTAACCCTGTCCTGGCCTGAACCAGGACATTTTCCACCACTTAATCTATACCATTACTCATTTGAACGTCCTACACCCTTCAACATATATACATAAACATTCACATATATATGTGAAGTATGCTCATATACATAAGTATACAAACATAGGTATCATCTCCATAGTCAACAGCCATCCCACCAAGATGTCTGGTGAGTTAATTTTATCCATGACTGTGGGTCCTATCTGTCCTAGATGTCTTCCAGAGCAGGAGGGTTGGTGTCTTGTCAGTTATTTTGCTGCATCAGGACCACCCACCTGGTGTATCTAGGATGGTCCATATTCATTGCCTATAGTACTTATGACAAACAATGGAAGCAGAGAAGGCTCCAGGCAGACTTTGGAGACCCATTATTACACCCTGGATACTTAAATCCAGGGGTTAAACTCAAGGTTACTTGATTATGGCTAGCAAAAAGGAGAAATAAATCCCCACCAGATATTCTCAAGAGCTGAAAATCACACAAAAGTTTACTGCAAAAATATAGAAGATTAAGAAAGCTTTGGCAAAAGGATTAAATACAACATGAAATTCAACATGTAACCACTTATAATAGCATTACTTAGCATTAATTTGGTAGTAACTTCATTAACTTAGCCCATTTAACCTAGAAACTTTTAAATCCTTAAGATGTGAAGTTACCCACAAAGTTCCATGGAAAGAGAAATAGGAGAAGGCAGAGCTAGAGACAGAAAAGATATAGAAAAAACACAGGCATAGCTACCACCTCATTGGGTTGTGGCGTGAGTAAGACCAGAACCCCAAAAAAGCCAGCAGGGCCAGACAGTTTGGTACTGGATGGTTGTCCCTTTTTATTCCTTGTCACTTTGTGAGCCCAGCTCCCAGATGGGATTTCTGGAACCTCAGCCAATGAGAGGCTGAGCAGGAAATTCCCCCTGCTGTTTGATTGATTGACAGCTCTGTCAATCGAGGGATCTAGTGGCAGGGCACTGTCTTACCTGAAAGAAAGGCCTGACCCCCCTCCAAACACACACACACACACAGACAGACACACATGGACACACGGACACACACAGAGACACACACAGACAGATGCACAAACACAGACAGACACATACAGGGACAAAGACACACAGACAGAAACACAGACACGAAAATGAATTGAATTTCTTGTGCCCTCCCTGTATAAAGAAAGAAAAAGGAAAAAAATAAATAGATAAGCAGGGCCATTCCCCATTAGGCCTTTATCTTTTTGGAAGCAATCACTGTTCCACAATCAAACTGTGCTGGTTTTAAAAAAACCAAACTGTTCTGGTGGAAGAGTTCTGGTAGAGAGTTCATGGGAGTTATTGCAAGATTCAGCACTGGAACAGTGCTGGTTTTAAAGTTCCACAATCAAACTGACTTGTTAGTTAGTCCTTGGAGTGTGTGCCTTGTACAGAATCTCCTTGGGAGCAGCTTTTATGTCCCATGCCAGTGGAACACATTTGATTGCTGAGATGGCAACTGGAGGTGTCAAGGTCTCTCTTCTCTCCCTTGTCCTTGAAGGTGGTGAAAGAACAGTGTCTTCTTGCCTTTTCTAGGGGGAAAGGCCTTTGTCACTAGTGGAGCAAAAGACCTTGCCTTAGGGGAGGAAAAATCATTATTTCTGTGACACCAGTCTTTTTTCACAGGAAGGAGAGTGGACTCCCTGGAAACTGTTTGGCTGAAGAACCACCAGCACCTCTACCAAAAAATTCAGATTCTGCAGGAAGCTTTCCAGAATGAGCAGGAGTCCACACGGCGTGATATTCAGCTCCTCAGAACTGACCTGGAGAATGAACTGGGTGAGCAGAGCCATTCCCCAGCAGGCCACATTTTCCCTGGAGGCAAAAGCTGCTCTGCAGGCAAAATGTCCTGTGTGATTGCCCACCACAGCTTCTCAAAGCAGATGGAGAAGTACAATCCTCATGTGGGGAATAGCTTTTTTGATCAAGAATACTCAAAGGGAAAACCTGAAGAGACTCTCTGGCAGTGAATTTAAACCAGGACACTGCTCTCTCCCTCAAGAAGGTAATGAGAGTGTCCCAATGACACTGTTCTTTCTTTATAGGATTGACAATAGAGTCAAATAATACAAACACTCTGGAATCCATGTGGAAGAAGGACCTCCATGAAATGTCCGAACAAGTTCAAACTCTGCAGAAAGCTTTTCTAAACACCCAGCTGTACACACAGCGTGACCTTCACATCATCAGAACAGACCTGAAGGATGAACTAGGTGAGCAGGGCCATTCCCCAGCAGGCCTTCATCTCTCTGAAGGTCAATCTGGCTCAACAGGTAAACTGACCTTTGAGTTAATCCTTTGCCTTTTGTCAGAATGGGCAGAACTTCCTTGGGAACAGCTCTTATGTCCCAGTCAGCTGGAACACCTTTGATGCTGAGGTGGCAACTGGAGATGGTCAAGGTCCCTCTTCTCTCCCTTGTTGTAGAAGGGAGTGAAAGAACATCTCCTTTTTCCTTTTTAAGAGGAAAGTTTTGTGTTATTAATGGGACAAGACCTCACCTCAAGGGAGAAAAATCATTGTCCCTGTGACACCAATCTTTTTTCACAGGAAAGACAGTGGAGGCAAATGTCACAGGGAATATAGCATGCATATGGCAGAAGGACCTCCTGCATCTCTCCCAACAAATTCAAACTCTGAAGCAAACTTTCCAGAACATGAAGGTTGCCATACAGCGTGACCTTCAAATGACCAGAACAGACCTGGAGAACAAACTAGGTGAGCAGAAGCATTTCCACAACAGGCCTTCATACCTCTGAAGGCAAAGGCTGCCCTACAAGCAAACTGTCCTGTGAACTTGTCCACCACATCTCCTCAGGTGGGGTGGGGAAAGACAGCCCTTACACAGGAAATAGTTTCTGTGCTCTGTGACACCACACAATCCTCAAAACAAAGAGTATTGTCTCCCAAGAGTACTCTCTGGAGATAGAGTGGGATCATTCCTACCCTCCATCCTTTCCAGGAGGCCTTGGTGAAGCCATTAGGAAGACCCACGGGGAGTAGGAGAAGCCTGAGAGAGCCCTAAGAGATGCCTTGACAGGGATTTTTTATCAGAGCTTTTGGGCTTCATCATTAAAGATCAATGGTCTCTCCCTCAAGAAAACCATGACTTTGTCCCGGTGAAAATGTTTTTTCTTCTCAGGAAGGACAGTGGAGGCAAAAACAAGCAGCTTAGAATCCAGGCTGGAGAAGGACCACCATGAAGCCTCCCGAAAAATTCAAACTCTACAGGAAAATTTCCAGAACATATATGAGACCACACAGCGTGACCTTCAGATGATCAGAACAGACTGGAAACATGACCTAGGTAAACTAGGCCATTCCCCAGAAGGCTTTCATCTTTCTGAAGAAAAAAGTCATTCTATAGGCAAACAGTCCTATGAAATAATTTTCCATGGCTCCTCAAAGTAGGTGAAGAAGGAGAGTCCTGACATGGCAAAGCAGCTTTTGTGCTCCATGACACTGAAACACCTCAAAGTTGAAGAGCCCGTGACGAGCCCCACCCCGTGCTCACCTGCTCAGCTTGGGGGCATCTCCATGGCCAGTGCATGAGGTGGGGCAGGGGAGGGCACTGGCAGCACTCAGCACTCTCTGCCAAATGTCCAGGGACTTTCCCCTGGGCAGGCACAGGGTCCATGTCCAATCTCGGGAGCCACTGACAAAGGCTGAGACCCAGTGAACATTCCTGGGACCACAGTGGGGTCTGAGGGACAGGGATTGCATGTGATTGCGGATTGCTGGTCTCCCCCTTGAGACCGCAATGTGACTGTTCCAGTGAGATGGTTCTTTCTTCACAGAAAGGACAGTGGAGGCAAATACAAGGACCATGGAATCCATGTGGAAGAAGGACCTTCTGCAGCTCTCCCAACAAATGCAAACTCTGCAGGAAGCATTCCAGAACATGGAGCGGTCCACACAGTGTGAGCTGCAGATGATAAGAGCAGACATGAAGAATGAACTAGGTGAGCAGGGCCATTCCCCAGCAGGCCTTCATCTCTCAACAGGCAGAAGCTGCTTTACACGTCTTGTGAGCTAGTTCTTTGCCTCCTCCGAGTGGGTGCATGGGGCAGAACCTCCTTGGGAGCAGCTCTTTTGTCCCCTGACAGTGGAACACCTTTGATGGTGAAATGGGACTGGCAGTCAGTAGAGGTTCGTTGCCTCTCCATCACATTTGGAGAGAGTGAAAGCACAGCATCTTTTTGGTCCTTTCTAAGAAGAAAGGTCCAGTGTAATTTGTGGTACCGTACCTCATCTCAAGTGAGGCAAAACCACTGTCCCACTGACACCAGTCTTCTCTTACAGGAAGGAGAGTGAAGGAAAATACCTCAAGGGTCTTGGAATCCATACAGCTGATGGACATCCAGCAGCTCTCCCAAGAAATCGAAACTCTGGAAAAAACTTTGCAGACCACATTGGGGTCCACAAAATTCGACTTAGGTGAGCAAGGCCTTTTCCAGCAGAACTTTATTTCTCTGAAGGGAAAAGCTGCTCTACAGGCAAATTGTCCTGTGAGCTTCTTGTACACAGCTCCTCAAAGCGGATGGAGAGGGACAGATTTTCTTGGCAAGTTGCTCTTGTGTCCCCACATGTGAAGACACCTGAACACTGAGATGATGGCTGCACGTGGTCAAGGTTCCTCTTCATGATCTTGTCTTTGAAAGGAATGTGTAGTGTGTGCTCTCTATGACTCAATATCTGGTAAAGGAGCCCACCTCCATGCCTTAGTATTGTCTTCTTGCTTTCCTCACTTCTCTTCCTCTTAACAAACATTGTTCTCTCCCACAACCCATAGCTGCTGTTTGGAGAGATGGAGGGGGCTGATCCCAGCCCTCCATCCTGCCCATCAGGCCTTTCCCAAGCCTTTGGGAAAGCTCACAGGTCCTGTGCTCTTTCCCCAGCCCTCCAGCAGTCAATCCATCCAAACCAGTTCTGTTGAGCTGGGAGGGTCTTTGTTCTCCTTTTTCCAGAGCCCATGTGCCCCAGAACACTGGGAGCTGGACACTTCAGGGAGGGAAGGACCACCAGGAGTGTGAGAGTCCCAGATGAAATGCAGTGGCTCCGGCCTTGGGCAAGCCCTGCTCCTCTTCCCCCTGGCCCAGCAGTGCTCAATCACTTTGACAAGGGTCTCCAGGGGTAACTGGTGCAGGAAGGTCACCTTTGCTTCCTGGCAAGTCTTTCTCTGTGAAAGCCTATCACCTTTTTAGTTCAGGGTCTGGCCATTCCTCTGGCCTCTCTTTCCCATCTGAAAAGGAAAGAGAGGCTGAGCTCATATCACAGCAGATTTTAGTCCTCCTCTCAGAGGCCTCAGAGAAAGCAAGTTGGAGCCACATGCCCCATGTCTGGAAAACAAAATTATCACACACCCTGATGTACTGTTTTCTCTGGGAGTCTGATGAAATGAGAGTAGAACTGGTTAAATAAACAGTGTGTATGTGTGTGTGTGGTGGGGGAGTAGGAGATCATGGGCGTGGCATCAGTGTCATGAAGGAGAGAGAGCTGGGTGTCATGTGTAAGAGATATCCTCGATCCTGTTCTGTTTGATTGTGCTGTCAGTGCCCCAGCAACACTCAGAGCCTTGTGTCTGACCATACTGTCAGTGTCAGAGTAGGGGAGCATAAGAGTGGCCTCATTGTCACCATAGGGGGAGAGTTGGCCAATTTTGTTTCATTGCCAGAGCAAGCCTTGACAAATCCACTTACTTCCTGCTTTTCTCCTTTCCCACAGACCTTCCAGTCCTACGGTCCTACAAAGGTAAGCATAAGTGAGGTGAGGAAGTGAGTACTCAAGAGCCCGAGTGCAGCTCTGGAAAACACACCCAACGCCTTCAAATAGCTGTTTGGAGAAGAGCACACTCAGGGAAGGGTGGTTGGATGACTTTTTTCACTGTTGTGGTGCCCAAGGCCCTGCCTGTGTTTGTCAGGAGCCCTCTCAGCTGTGGGGAGCAGGCACAGCTGGCTTGCACCGGCCACTGCAGCTCCAGCTCCCACTTCTGATTTGGCTCTTGGGCCTCTCAGGAAAAGTGTCTGGAGCTGATCTTGCTCCACAACAGGAGCAGCTCCTTCTCCTTTCCATCAGAATTGAGCTAGAGGACCTCAGTTTGTGACATTGCACCTTGCTGGAGTCCTACCAGAGGTTCCTCCCATCCTCTGAGGCATGTAGAAAGCTGAGGCAGGAAACATTTCCTTATCCTTGTGGTAATGCAGACCACTCTTCCACTCTAATCCACATACAAGCAGTATCATACACTGGTGGTCTCCTGTTGTTGAGGAAAAAAGTGCTTAAAACTTGAAAATCCCCTTCAGATTTTGGCAAGGAGTTAATCCAAACCTACAGCTGCTGGCAGCCAAACCTAATTCCAGCTGAGGCCAACTCCTGGTCCTTTTCCTCAGGCCACCCCCTGCCAGCAATGCAGAGATGGAGGCAGAGAAGGTTGAGCAGCACAGCCTTCTCCTTGGAGCTGCCTGCTGCAGTCCCAGGAGCACTGGAGGAGTGCCTGGCATTTGGTGTGGGCTGGCTGCCACTCTCTGGCAGGAAGGGACAGGGCAGGAGTGGAGGGAGAAGCTTGAGGTGTCCCAAGACAAGAGGCTGCTGAGTGCACCCGAGCCTGGAGGGAGGGAAGGACAGATGAGAGGGGGATGAAGGCAGAGAAAGGAAAGGCTCAGAAAAGCAGAGCTTGTGTTTTCTGCTCCTCATGGCCTGACTTGACCATTGCAGGAGATGTCATCCTGGATGCTGACACAGCTCATCCCAGACTGGAAATCTCTGCAGATGGGAGGACAGTGAAAGATACTGGTGTCATCAGATTCTTGCTCAAAAACGAGAAGAGATTTGATTCCCATCTGTTTGTGTTGGCAAAGGAAGGATATACTTCTGGGAAACACTATTGGGAAGTAAATGTTGGGACAAGAAAAAACTGGGCCTTGGGCATTGCCTGTGAATCTGTGACTCGCAAAGGCACTTTGACTCTGTGTCCTGAGAATGGCTTCTGGGTTATCGCGTGTGTGGATGGGCATGATTATTTGGCCTGCACGAATCCTTGGACCTGTCTGACTGTGACTGGCTATTTGTCACAGATTGGCATCTTCTTGGACATCCCAGCCAAGAAGGTTTCTTTTTATGATGTCTTTAAGGCAGTAGCTTTGTACACTTTGAGTATTGCTGATGGCAGCAGACAGGAAGGCAAATTCCTTCCCTTCTTCTCTACAGGCCTTGCTGCTGCTGAGCCTGACACTGAGCCCCTAGCAATACTGCAGTTTTCTGATGATGATGAGTAGTTTACTCTGCATTTCAAAGGTCAATACTGTGATTGAATCACATTGTAATCAGGCTGCTGATTTGTGTCTTCCGAACAAAAGTATTGAAGGAGAGGGCAAATCTGTCATAGTGGTCAGCTTTCTAAATTATGCATCAGAATGAAAAGTTTTTTGAGGGAAATTTTACGTTGTCAAGGGAAATAAATTTTCTTTTGTGATAGTATGAAAAAAACCCATTTCTTGTGTTTTGTGAATTTTCCTGAAAAATTACTGTCCTGGGATTTGTTTTTATTTCATACAATTTCTGGTTTTTTGTGTCTGGGGTGGTCACTGACCCTACTCCCTCCAGTCCCCCAGACTTTGGGATCATCAGGATGAATGAGAGCCAGACCAGGGTATCCAGCAAGAGCTGGGGGCAGAGTGAGGGGCAGCTCCTTTCTTCTGGGCAGGCTTTTTGGCTGGCTGGGCACTTGGTTTCTCTGACTAGAGATACTATTGCTCTGTGGGTTTGGCCTGTTTCTTTTTGGTTTTTTTTTCCTTCCTCTGTTTTTTCTGGATCAATATTAGTGTATATCTTGGAAGTTGCCCTTAGGCATCCTGCAGATGCACTTAGAGTCTCACGAGGTTCTTATTTCACCTCATAAAGTTTAGAACAATTGATTTGCCTTGGCATTGCGTGTTCAAAGCTGAATTTTTGATATTGTCCCAGGAAATCCTTCCCTTCCCTGGTATTGGGGTCCCAGTGGGGGTCCAGGGAGGGAAAGTGCTCTTCAGCAGTTCCTGGTGGTAGCTTGCCCTCTGTGTCTATACTGTTCACCTCCCTCCTAGTAGTCTGGAGTACTGTCTCATTATCATATAATCGACCAAATTATCTAGCAGAACCTGTATATCCAGTCAGTCTGGGTCTCCAGAATGGTTTCAAATACTTTAGGTAGTCTCTCCAGATCTTCTCTATAAAGAAGAGGTGAGGCATCTCACCCGTGCCTCAAGATCGATTGGAAGAGAAAGGTACCTTACCCTTACCAGGCCATGAGAGACTCTCTGTTTACCCCAGGTTCACCCCAACACTGGCTGCTCCTTTTGCAGTTTCAGATGGTTTTCCAAATAAAATAATAAATCCACATAAGGTAATTCATTCCATTTCCCTCTCTCCCTCCCCAAACTAAGGTACCATTCTCTGGCCACTCAGCCTGGTAGTTTAGCTGGTATATTGGCCACCGCTGATGACAATATTGGATTAGTCTAGGTTTGCTTGGTGGGTCTCCTCCAGTCTGTTTCCAGTTTTTCAACATATATTTCAATGGAGAACTGAAATCTCCCACTTTAGTTTGAGAAGAAACTGGCCCCATTTTCAATAATTTCAAATACACAAGCTATTATCTCTGAAAGTTATAATGGTATTTCTGGGTTTGTAATGGAAGGGGGAGTGGGGAAGAGAAAGAAGACTGCCAAACCGGCAATCACTAGAACTGACACAAGAGGGTGCTTCAAGTCCACAAATGCGATCTGAGCCATGCACACAAAACTACAGCAACTCCAAAACACCAGCAAACATTCAGTTATGCTCGAACACTCTCTCAGCAGATGAATTTTTATATCACGGGTATCCCCATGTTGATATGCTGGAAAACCCAAATCAACACAACACTCTCACATGAGCACACTCTCGTAGTTCAAGAAGAATGCAAAAAATGCAAAGGAAGTAACCAAATTTCACCACAAAAGCGGCTCCAGATGAGGCTGGGCTGGGTTTCAATTGTAAATGGAGACTGTTTGTTTTTTGGTTTTTTTTTTTTTTTCTTTCTTCATTCCTCCTCTGTTGTGATGTAATTTTTTGTTTTCTTAGTAGCTTTATTGTTTGATTTGTAATCTGGTAATTTCTTTATGCTGTTTCCTTTTTGTTCCCACCTTTTCTCAGAATTTTCGTCACTTCTCCTGTTATTAGGCGCTAGTTTCTATTTCTCCAAACTCTGTTAGTTTACTGAAACTGTTCTCCTCCCTTGGGATTTTTATTGGTTTACACATTGTAATCCCCGCCTGGTTTTTCACTCCCAATTCTCCTGATTTGTTAAAGATTGTACCCTCCCCTGAGACCTACCCCCAAATATAAGCTCCTTTGTCCCCCCGACTGGGGTCCAGGGAAGAGAAAAGGGGAAGTTTTGCCATCAGATAAAGTTACCCATGTGCTGCTCTGTTTTTATACTGCACCAAAGCTGGTGGCTGGCATTCACGGGGCATGGGAGGACTGGGGGGGCTGTGGCTGCCGTCAAAGTAGGTCCTGAGAGGAGAAATGGAGGGGTGGGATCAGGGGAGGATGGTGAGACTGCTGGGAGATGGTGGTGGAACTAGCAGGAGACAGTCTTCCCACCACTGGGAGGTGCTGGAACCAGTGGGAGATAATGGTGGAATACTGGGAGATGGTGGGAGTACTGTGAGACCAGCAGGAGACAGACCAAACCCTGGGAGATGATGCCACCATGGAATCATCAGGGCAGGAGGTTTTGGGTGACCCCACCCAAACCTCCTGCCCTGCACCCCCAGGGGTCCTTCCCCACCTTCCCCTCACCTGGGGTTCTCCAAGGTGACATTCTGGGCAGTGTTAGATAGCTGGATCTCCACAGTCTGCTCCAAGAATTCCCACATCCTGGCACAGGATTCACTGCTCCACAGGGTCAAAATCTACTCCAGTCTGGGGTTTCTTCAGGAAAACCTCAGGGTTTCCTTATTACTCTCTACAGCTCCCTGAAAAGTAGTTGAAGTCAGGTCAGTCTCTTCTCTCAGGCAACCACTGACAGAACAAGAGGACACAGTTCTAAGCTGCACCAGGGGAAGTTTAGGTTAAATGCCAGGAAAAAAAAATTCACTGAAGGAGTGATTGGCTGATGGAATCATCTGCCCAGGGAGGTGGTGGAATCACCATCCTTAGGCATGTTTAAAAAAAGACTGGAGATGGCATTGTCAGTTATTGTTCCCTGTCAATGAAGTGAATTCCAGTGATCTGAGGGTTAGGTCTGATAATTAGAGTCCATGATGTACACAAGAGTAGACAGATCACCCGGCAGCTGGCAAAAAGAAGAAACTAGAAGAAACTGTCTAAGAGAATTTTTATCTGCAATGATTTCTGCAGGCTGCAAGACTCAAATGATAATTTGAAAAAAAGTGGTCAATAGCATGTGTCCAGCATTGGACCTATTGCTAAAATAATTTATTAATGCTATATTGCTTATCTGAACTTGGGATGTGGTAGTAAATAAGTGCATCAATACAATTCACACAGAGCTGTGCAGTGTGTTCCATACTCTGCTCCCTCTAACCAGAAAGAAGCTGAATGATACCTCTAAAACTTGCACTTAAAATTAGCCATAGTAACTCACTGATTTGTTTGAATACATCCTCCAGCAAATAGATCCTCCATCAAATTGCTTCACCCCAAAGCAATTAAACCAGTAGAACAGGACTTCACTTGAATATGTTTACCGCTCTAATCCTGCCTTTGCCATATGCTGATTTCCTCCAGAGGGAGGAAGTCTGAGTACCATGAAAGACTTTCCAAATAGAATAATAAATGAGTGGGTGTATGAGCTCTGAAAGGACGTGAAGCCCTAAAGCTGGGGTAGCTGATTTGGTGTTTTATTTGCATAGAGTAGCCCCAACATTTTCCAGCGTGTTTTCAGCTCGGAAACCTGTGTGTGCTTATGCAAAACATTGCCAAGAACAAATGAAGGTGAAGCACATATGACAAATTAATGAACAAGTGAGGCCTCTGCTATCCCACTTTCCCAGCTGTGGAAGGTTTTACTAACTTTTAAGTACACTAATTAACGTGTTTCTGCTGGAGGGACCCTCAGGAAGGGGAACCTGTGCCCAGGCTCTCTTGCCTGACACGGGCAGGGCTGTTGGCAGCCAAGCCAGACACTCCTCACAAGGACACACTGCCCTGCTCCTGCCATAAAAACAGCTTATTTATCCTGGTCAGATGCAAGGCAATGTTATTTGGATGCTTTTCTGCACAAAGAGGCTGCAGAAGAAGAAGGACTGGCAAATGGCTGTGGTCAAAGAGAAGGTTAATGCTCCACCAGTGATGCACCTCAAGACTGCAGTTCAGTGTGGGGAAGCTGGTCATGGAGAGGGGAAACCTCATTTTTCTTCTGCTGCTTATAGATAGCTTGATTTCCAGACACAGGGTGTCCCTGGACATGAGTATTTCAGTTATATATTCAGTACTCACCTGTAAAAATTGCAGACAGCTGGTCCCACAGGCCTGGGGTGGTCCTGGGTGTGTCTCCAGCTCCTCTTTAAATAAAAGCAATGTGGCCTGTGGCTGCTCCAGGCTGATGCTTTAAGGAATCCCCAAATTAATAAGTTTTTTCTGCCTTTCCCCCAGTCTATCCTCTGGGAACCTCTTCTGTGCATTCAGTCAGACGCAGAGAAAGCTGCAGGAAGTCTCAAGCCCAACCAGCTCCCTTAATCTGAAAATATGAGGCACATAATTGCTGCTGCCACTCATAACAGCCTTAAACCTGTGCCAGGTTAACCAGTGGCTTTAATGGGGCTACTCTCCGTTTAGATTATATTCTTGATGGGCTTGTCATTGCTTCATTACTTTACTCCCTTTGTAGTTTTCCTGCACTTTGATACCAAATGATCCTTTGGATCCTTTGCTCTCAAGGACAGAGAGCACATGTTTCTGTGAAGCATGTGATAATCTCACTTACAGACACAATTTGCTTTATGAGTGGCCATTCCAGAGATCAGGCTAGTAAGGATGACTAGAGGAGAAAATGTGCAAAAATTGAGCTTAGTAAATTTTTATGGTGATGAATTTATATATATTGTGATGAAAGGGAAGAGATTGATATATTCCAGCTAGTAGCATATACTTAATTAACTTTATTAGGCAAAATTGCTTAAGACTTCAGCAATATCAAGGGCTAGTCCCTGCCCAGAGTTGTATCACAACACTTATAAGCATCATTTATTGCCAGACCATATGCTTGCACACATGTAATAGAAAGAACTCAGATGTATGTGCTTATTTGTATGTCACTCAATTTCCTGGATAGTTTCTGCTGCAAACGTTGAATTTGGTCACTCTGCATG